ATGGTTTCATATCATGTAAAAACAAAATTGACTACAGTCAATTCATTGACCCCAAATGCTCTGGTACGACTGAGGATAGGGGAGAATCCACTCTCTCTCTCTCTCTCTCTTTCGAAATGCTCTCACATAGTATTACGTCTGGCCGATTGTGAACGCTATATTCCCTTCCCTAAGCTAGTTCCGTACCCCCGAGCTAGAACTACTTCGCAAATTGAAGACCAGAGAAAAGGCACAAAGTGTGTGTGAAGCACTTTACTACAGGGTTCATTTATGTACAGAAAATATGGGGATTTTATAGTAACTTAAGAGTCCTTGAGTTTTTACCGAAAGTTCTAGAATACTGCTAAACATAGTAGCAGTATATTAATCAGGCAATCAGGATCTCCGCATGTGACTTTTTCATTCTCGTTATTTTAGTAACATAACTTCACACAACTTCTAATTAACCGCTGATTGGTTGAAATGCTCCTTGATGATTCACGAGCTTGTCATGTCGCTTGTGAGAAAAATGCAGGGTCATCCCAACACATAGCCACGTGCATACAACTACTGCCAGGAAAGTACTATTCACTGCCTTCTCATGGCATTACTGTTGTTTACGAAATTGAGAAGACAAAAAGTGAATCACCGGCTCTTGAACTGGGTCGGTGGATATGGAGGACTCACCAATGGGAGTTGGAAAACCCTAATTCCGAACAAATGGTGAACATGGTCTCCAGTATCCTGAGGGAACAAATGGCGTATGAACCAATTATTGGTCACCGGTTATAATGGGACTGCACCTCCTTAAGTCGCTCCATTGCTTTTTGGATCAGACGTATAGGTCAAAGACTCCGGATGCGGCCCAGGAGAACAGTTGAATAATGCAGTTAAACTTTTCACTAGCAATAGTATAATGAAAGAGAACGCAGTTATCTAATTTTACATCATGAACTATTATACATCACCATTAGTGATGCTGATCTTATCCCCAACATAGTTGGCTTATACTGCTTCGGAAAAGTCATAAAATCTCAAGAGTAAAGCAACTGTCATCATTAGAAATGGGTAACAGTGTATCAGTATCGGAAATAAACTGAAATTAATGACACAAACAATCGGATACCAAACTAGTGATTTGACGGTTATAAGTCCTTCATGAAATTCCGAGATGTCGTGAATGATATCACCAAAGATAGCTATATTAGAATATGACATATGTGCAATGCTTCCTAGTTTTCAACCGTACTCTAATTAAAATCAGTCCGAGACACAAAAGGCATCAATCTGTACGACCCTCTTTACAAGTAGATATTCGATCATTTAAGTGAATTCATACAATGAAAGTATAGTCTTGAGATGTTGGAGATTTGTAGTTCAGGTGGGTGATTTTAATCGAGTTTTATTCTTTGAGATGGATGGTTTGGTCGTGGAGTATTATTCATCGTCCTTCTAAACGACATCATCAGCACAAACTTCGGGTAGACTTCTAACCGATGATGTCTTCCAGAAGGAAGATGGAAGCTCCACCACCAAACCATCCAGTTCAGAGAACAAAACTCCATCAAAAGGAAGTATCATCAATAGCTAAATAGTTTTTTTTCATTTTAAAACAAAACCTGTCAAGTCAATCTTGTTTTTAATTTTAGTAATTGAATAACCTTCAAAACGATAGAATTTCTTTATTTCTCATCATTATTTCATGATTTATTTGACCTATTTATCATTATAATAGAAAATATTCATTATTAGGTAATTGATTGATGGTTACGTTGTTTGTGAGAATGATAAACTGTTAGATAACTCCATACATAACAGGACTTTATCATCTTCCAATATTCATGTAGTGATAAGCAGATAGATATTTTACTAGCCACCAAATGCCCTGGTACGACCGAGAGTGGGGAGAGACTGTCGTCCCTCTCGAAATGCTCTCACATGGCCACGCGTATATAACCTCTGTCAGGGAAGTCCTACTCACTGCCTTCTCTCAGCGAGTATGTTGTTTATGCAATTAAGAAGATCAGAAGCGAATTTCCAGAGCGTGGCCATGTGAGAGCATTTGGAGAGGGAGAGCGTAATCTCCACACTTTCGGCCGTACCGGGGCATTTAGGGGCTATTGACGATTGAAATGCATCAAATAATTAAAGATCACTAATCATTACTAGATAATATCTTGGTAACCAATGAAGTTCTCATTTATAAATGTAGCATATAACACTTATTATTAGTTATGCATGAATACTTTCAGTGATCATTTCATGAGATCAATCATAGAAACCATAAAACAGATAGATTAATATTTTGAAACCTCATTGAAAACATTTATTTTGGTCAAGATTATTAAATCACTTAACTACCCTATTGCTGTTTGTCAACACCTTTCAATCATTTAGAAGTAGTAAACACAATACTCTAAGGAACGTCAACTAATCACACAAAGTAACTAAACTGCTACTGTTGCAAAAAAAACACTTTGGTTGAATTCAATTCCAAATAACATGATATTTAAGAACTCAAATTGATTATGACAGATAAACCGTTTTCTTTTTGGTCCAAATTATTGATCAATAAAAAAAAATGCAGGAAACTATATATAGAACATACAATTTGATGATCAATGTGTATTACATGAAAGGTACTTAATGATTTCCTGAAGTATAAAAGAAAGATCATGGAAACTGAAAACTATCATTGGAATGTATAAAGTAATATGAAATGTAGATTGAACATAAAAAGTTTCTGATTTTCAAATAATAATAAACATTGACTAAGTGTCTATGAACATTATCATTAATATTAGAATATATTGGTATATGTAAAACTATTCAGTTTGTTATAAGCATAGATGGATAATAGCTAGCAGTGGTCTTGAGTGCTGTTAGAGGTATGAGGGCGAGTATAACTTCCCGGTTGCCCACACTGTGGAAGAGTTCTTCTAGAGGTACCTGAAAAGGAAATTGGGTTAAAAGTGGTCTTAATCACCTGAGAGCGTGACCGTAGTGCCCAAGGGACAACTGCTTAAGGCCGGTCACGCACGGCACTTTTGTGTTAGCTCCGTACTTGTTGGGACCTTACAGCCGGAAACGGATATCCGTGGGATAAGACGAGGTGTGCATTTTTAGGGTCGACCTTTTCTAACCCCACCCCTCCTTGTGCGAAGGCAGCATCACTGTCATGCTGGTTGTCTAAAAGAAACACCTCACTGCTGTCACACCTCTGTACAGTCAGCAGTACGACTTCGCCTTCAGACCTTGGGATTGCTGCTTTTAGTCTTACCGCTCTTCAACCGACCTGTCTGGCATGGTAGGTCCTCGAGGAACGATTGTTCCAGCCAGTATAGCTCGATTGGTTTATCACGATAGGCAAGCCCGACCACCACGTCAAGGTAGCAGCAACGGTTGGGAGCTACCAGTGAAATCCAGTTTGACGCGCGTTTCGCCCTATTTTGGGACTCATCGGCTGGATGTACCTTGCATCTTAGAGTTGATGTTTACTCTGGGACTCGAACCCAGTACCTTTCGCTTCAATTACCATCACGTTATCCATCTTTGCTTATAATGCTTGTGAATCAAGGTTATATCGAGGCAATACACACAATATGCACAGTATGCCAATAAGAAACTGATCAATTCCAGTCATAAGCGTCAATGAGAAGATTCGAACAAGTAATATCGAGTGAATTCATTCAATTTATTGTTTATTGATTACAATATCAATTCAATCATGCATAGAAAGCAATTTCATCACATGTTACCCTTTATAGTATGTGAACTTTTAAACTATATTAGAATTCAATAAGTGATGTACTCAATTTAATCATTGTTCTGTCAAAGGTTATTAAATTCCTTTATAATTAAACTGTATGGTGAATTTATAATAATGTATCTGTTGACATATATTTCATGTAAATTTCAAGTTTCTTGAACTTATTTTACTTTCCACCCCAAAATGTCCTGGGACGGTCGACAGTGGGGAGAGTTAGCTCTTCTTCTCCAAATGCTCCCACATTGCCACGCATATATAGCCTCTAACAGGGATGTCCTACTCACTACCTTCTCGTGGGATTACTGTTGGTTACGAAATTGAGAGGACGAAAAGCGAATGCCGGACTCTCTAACCGGGTTGGTGGACACGGAGAGTCCACACAAATCGAATGAGATTTGTGAGGAACATATGCATCTGGTGCTTTCTTGTACCAATATTTATGTGTTTAAATAAATAAATAAACACTTTGATTAAAAATTAATGCTGTTGAAATCAAGTTTATTAAAAGGAGATATGAATCTGAGATCTTGTAGTTAGATACTAAAAGCTTTTTCCATTATGTCGAAGTTTATTAAAATAGTAAGATTAATTAATTTTCTATATTCAAGACATATGACGCAACAGATTTTATTAAAATGTTTGTTGTATGATCATTTTCTAATAGTTTATTTAATATAAAAACTTTGTGAGCATTACAATCATAGTTGGACAGTAGTTATCAGTGGAATCTAGGACGCGCAGTTTGCCTCGTTTGGGACTCGTCAGCTGGATGCATCTGTATCTCATAGTTGATTTACATTCTGGGACTAGAACCCTGTACCTTTCGACATAACTACTGAGTCATAATAGCCACTTGCTTGTTCAATGGGGTGAAGTTTAAATTCATTTGATATTGTTTACATGAATCTTCCCATTGATGTCTAGTCCCAGATTGAACATCAACTCTGAGATTCAGGTACATCCAGCTGACGAGTATCAAATAGTAGGAGACGCGTGTCAAAGTGGATTCCACCACTAGCCACTATATCCATATTTGGTTATAATGCTTATGACTTAAGGCAATATCAAGTCAATCCATACCGGATACATGTATGCTAATAATAGACTAATCAATTCCAGTCATAAACATCAATGGAATGATTCAAATAAACAATATCAAGTGAATATATGAACATTAGTTTAGATATCTGAATTCCGAATAATAAACAAACATAACTAAACAGTCATTACATTTTCCAAAATATTTACTTACTACATCTGCTTTCTCATGTGCTTCATCTGCATTGTCTAAACCCCATCTAGCATATAGACTACCGGATTGTAATATTGCTCTACGAAAATATGGTTGAGCAATAGGTGACATCCATAGAATTGATACACTGACTGCTCCAGCAGATTCACCAAATATTGTTACTTGATTTGGATCACCATGAAATTGTCCTATATTTTCGCTTACCCATTTCAATGCCATTAATTGATCTAATAAACCTTGATTACCTAAAGCATCAGTTTGTGTTTGATCAGTAATATTAGGCTTTAATCGTAAGAAACCAAATGCACCGACACGATATTGCATAGAAACAATAATTACATTTTGTGTAGCTGAAAGTATAGCTCCATTATATACTTGTAGATTAGCACTGCCTGATGTAAATCCACCACCATATATCCATACCATAACTGGTAAATGTGGACTATCGACACTAGATTTCGGTGTCCATACATTAAGATATAAACAATCTTCACTCATTTCAGTATTATTAATCCACATTTTACCAGCAGCATTAACAGCATCAAATCCTGTGAATATATATTGCCAACATGTTGGTGATAGTGTGGTTGCATTATATTTACCTTTCCAACCGGGATGTTTCACTGGTGGAGCAAAACGTAATTTACCAATTGGTTTTGATGCATATGGTATACCTAAGAAACTATTCACTTTCACTTTTTGTCCATCAATATTTACAATTTCTTCTTTGCCAATAACTGATCCACCATGAGTTAAAGGTATTTCTATAGGTTTAAGAGTAATTGACTTCACAATGGTAAGAATGATAATAATACTGAATAATGATACTATTGACAAATGAGTAAATGAAAGTAACATTGTCAATATAGAAGGATAATACGTTATTCAAGATATTTACATAAGTGTATCCAAATAGTCAGTTATATATAGATATATATGTATATGATGTAAATATACTACTTAAAATGACTAGTCATTATTTATTATTACTAAAATAAGTTGAGCAACACCCACCCATTATGTTGCTGACTGATAAAATAATTTTCTAGCCAATCAGATTATTGCAAACATTAAATTTTGATTGGTTAATTTTCTAATTTAATTAAATACTGATTATTATTATTATTACTATTATTATTATTATTCATTACTATTTTCAGTAATTGTCAGATTAGAATCCAACTTACTAAGAAAACATCTTTTGTTGTTAATGTCTTTTAAAAAAAATTAAATAGCTATTTATAAACAAAGATGGATAGTGGCTGATGGTGGAATCCAGGATGCGCGTTTTGTCCTAGAGTCCCAGAGTGAACATCAACTCTGAGATTCAGGTACATCTAGCTGACGAGTCCCAAATAGGACGAAATGCGTGTGAAACTGGATTCTACTGCTAACCACTATCCATCTTTGCTTAGAATGCACAGTATGCACATATGCCAATAAGAGACTGATCAATTGCAGTCCTAAAACATCAATGAGAAGATTCAAACAAACTAAACTAAGTGAATTGAAACAGCTAATTTATTCTTTGAAAAATAATTGGCATTTAATAAACTTAGAATCTGGGAGACAACAAACTAGATTCCAGCGGAGGAAGAGATCAAGAATAAGCGTTGTAAGTGGATAGGACACACATTGAGGAAGTCACCCAAGTGCGTCACAAGAAAAGCCCTTACTTGGAATCGTCAGGTCCAAAGGAGAAGAGGAAGACCAAAGAACACATTACGCCGAGAAATGGAGACATGCATGAATAGAATGAACAACAATTGGATAGTACTAGAAAGGAATGCGCATGACAGAGTGAGTGGGTTGGGGAATGCTGGTTGGCGGCCTATGCTCCGTTGGGAGTAACAGGTGTAAGTAAGTAATAAACTTAGAATTTGTCAATCAGCTGATAAAATTACTGGAATTAGTTTAAAGGAATAATTCCATTGTTAATTATAAAACTACATCGGCGACCAGTCTGAATATGTGGACTATCTGTTTCTGACATTTACATATTTCAACAAAATATCTGTTTTTCTTTTTATATTTTGTTTTGACATCTCATTATGTCTATTAATCGTATAACCTATACAGCGGTGTTTATGAAAAGCATACGACCTCTCGCTGTACAAGTTACTATAAAGTACAATAATAGACATCGTACTGGTTGAAGATATACATTGAAGAGAATGAAGAATAATCAAATGTCGATTCCCGAGCTGCTAATTAACAGGGTGGACTATCTCCAAATCCTACTAAGTCAAAACGTGTGTCGTAATTGTGGTGTCATCACAATTCAAGAATCTTGATTAACTGATCTACAGGACGAATGCTTAGTATTACTACGTGATTTCAATATCTATCATCAGGATCGATCAAGTAATAAAAAGAGGTGTGGCGGAGGTGTAGCTACGTTTGTAAACGTTAACTGGTGTCGATCTACTTTTGCTTGTTTCAAGTTTTCAAATGACTTTATCGACTGTCTAACTTTAAGATGCCGTTCAAAACACCTGATTAAATACAAATATATTTATGTTACCAACATCTACATGAATTCAGACTGCACATCATCTACGCTATCTGTTTTCGCTGATAAATATGCTGAATTCGCTATTATCACCATCAGTGGTTCACTTTAAATTGTATGTGGTGATTTCAATTCATCGGACTGTAGCTTCCTTACATCACTAGGTCATCAAAATGTAGTAGATTTTCCTACTCCTTTGGATGCTCATTTAGACTTGGTTTTCACTAATGATGTGGGTACATATGTAAATTGTAAGCGTGCTCCATTGTCTAGCTAGGATCACTGTATAAAGTATATGAAAAATATGGAAAGAGTACACCCTTACACCATATAAAAGTCATATATAGGAATTACTTAGAAAATATAAAAAATCAGAAAAACATGTTTCGTACAACTAGCTGAGAATTATTTACAGATGACTCACTGGAAAATACCACTTATGTCATCATCTGTTATCTTAAATTCTGTTTTGATATATGGTATCCCACTGAAACCACTTTTTTAAAAGTTTTGATCGACTTACATCTCCACAACTAAAACGACTACGGAGGGTAAAAGAAAGAATGTACAAGGAGAAAAAGACCATTGAAGTTCGTAAGCTAAATAGTCAAATAAACTTAGACATTAGATGTCTCAACTCTAATGTTTACTCAGAAACTGCTATCTTGTAAAAACTTTACAAGTATGTGGAAACGCTTTAAAGAACTTACAGGGGTTAGGTACATTAGAAGCGATAACCAGTTGAATGTTTGTGACTTAAATAAGTCTTTTGTACGTCAGTCATCCGATGTCATGCTCCCTATATCCACAGGTTTAAAGAATAATTCTGTTCTTAGTTTCACTGAAAATGAAGTCCGAAAATGTCTCTAGTAACTTAATTCATCCCATTGTTTAGGACCTGATGATATTCCAAACCTTCATTTTAAAAATGTGCTGACGTTCTATGTTATCGACTCACGAATATCTTTAACAGATCCTTTTTCAACTTATCTCATACGGAAAATGTGGAGAAAGATTAAGATAATCCCTATACCTAAGAAAGTATCTGGTGATAAAAATGTGAAAGTTACATCCATAGCAATAACTTCACCTTTCCTCAAAATAATAGAAAAATTATTGATACTCCCATCTCAACCTGCAATAAAAAAGCACAGTGATCCTTATCAGTTTGCTTACACACAGTATGCACATATGCCAATTACAGACTGACCAGTTGCAGTCCTATATATCAATGGGAAGATTCAAACAAACAATACTAAGTGAATTTAAACTTCACCCCATCGCACAAGCAAGTGGCTATCAGGACTCACTAGCTGAGTGGATAACGCGATTGCGTTTGAATCCAAAGGTACTGGGTTCCAGTCCCAGAGTGAACATCAACTCTGAGATGCAGGCACATCCAGCTGACGAGTCCCGAATAGGACGAAACGCGTCTCAAACTGGATTCCACTGCTAGCCACTATCCATCTTTGCTTACAGTGCTTGTGATTTAAGCCTATATTGACGCAATACGCATAGCATGCACGTATGCCAATAAGATACTGATCAATTGTAGTCGTAAACATCAATAGGAAGATTCAAACAATTTAATTCAAGACTTTAGTCTGTAAATATTCATTTATTCCTATCTGTTCTGTTCATTATTCTTCCAGTTAGTCAGAGTTAACTGTTAAATTGTTTTACTATTATAAACATTGTCAGTTGATGTATGAAATTTCGTTTGTCAATTTGAATTCACTGCAATTATTCTTTTTGTTTAATACCTCATTATAAGGTATCCTAACACGTGTAGAATATTTCGCCTTACAGTGTTCTGTAGATCCTCATACCTTTACCTACCTTTACGACTGTTACCTCTCGTTGAGGAGCATAGGTCACTCACCAACATTCTCCATCCAACTCTGTCCCAACCAATCCTTTCCAGTTCTTTCCAGTTAACATTCATCTTTTTCATATCTGCTTATATTTCCCGAAGTAATGTGTTATTTGGCCATCCTCTTTTCCACTTCTCTTCACCATTCCAAGTTAGGGCTTGCCTTGTAATGCACATTGGTGATTTCTTTAATATATGTCCTATCCACTTTCAATCTCTCTTCCTAATTTTCTCTTCAGCTGAAAGCTGGTTTGACGTCTCCCACAAAAGAATGTTGCTGGTATTGTCCGGCCAGTGAATGTTGAGTATTTTGCATAACAAACTGTTTATAAACACTTGTACCTTCTTAACCGTGGATGTAGTAGTTCCTCATGAATGAAATAAAATGAAACGTGTATTTTTTGTTCTTCCGATACACATTATGTTAACACACTTTAGAACACATCATATTCATTAGTAGATACATATCTTTGGAAGATCCAGCTGCGAATCTGTGATGGAACAAAATTCTAAACTCTGCATTCCTTTATGATTATTTCTGATTCTTGACGGATATAACTGAATTTCACGCTGTGGAAAAGCTCATAATATAGTCTAGATTGTCTATTTGCATATTTATATTTGGTCATTTTTTTCTAAAGATTAGGAATTAGGCTAACACAACGCTGGTTACTATTCAGGGATAAAACAATCCAAATATCTTAGTCCTGAAAAAGGTTATTTACAACCTATGTGTTTAGGTTATATAAAAGTCCCATTGATGTTATATTTGTCAATCTGAATACTACTTTCTAAATAAAGGCGGCCTACTTGAATATCTTGATGGACTACAGTTCAAAGTGGTGCATGGAGAACAGGTGACAGATGCATTTCCGGTAAGGAAGGACCGGAGTCAGACGAGGCTATCTACTCTCCCCCTTTATCTGTCTTCTGGCGATTGACTGGATAATGAAAACTTCGACATCTGAGTGGAAACACGGAATATAATGGACATCTCATAATCAATTAGACGATTTGGACTTTGCAGATGACCTAGCCCTCCACTCTCATACACACGAACAAATACAGACGAAGACAAGCAATGCAGCAACAGCCTCTGTATCAATAGGTCTCAACATACACAATGGAAAAAGCAAGATTCTCAAATACTACACAGAGAACACCAACCAAACCAATCACACTTGTTGGGAAAACTCTGGAAGAGGTGGAAACATTCACGTACCTGGGAAGCAACATTGATAAACAAGAAGGATCTGATGCAGAAATGAAGGCGAGGATTGGCAAAGCAAGGGCAGCACTTCTACAATTGAAGAACATATGGAACTCAAAACAACTATCAACTAATTTCAAAATGAGAATCTTCAATACGAACGTCCACACAGTCAGTCCTACTGTACGGAGCTGAAACTTCGAAAACTACTAAAAACATTGTCAAGAAGGTAAAAGTATTTATAAACAATTGTTTACGCAAAATACTCAACATTCAGTAACAATGTTTTATGGGAGAGGACAAATTGGTTTCCAGTTGAAGAGGAAATTAGGAAAAGACGTTGGAAGTGGATAGAACATACATTAAGGAAATCATCAAACTGCATCACGAGGCTATCCCTAACTTGGAATCCTGAA